GGGTCTCCGTCCACGTGGCAGCTGTCGGCTAGAATCTGAGGCTCGGGGACATGGGTCGCCGGGTGCGGAAAGGGGGAGGGCCTGCGGCCGCCGAGCCAGGGGAGAGGAGTGGTCTTATTGGGGTAACAGGAAGGGGGGTGTCTTAGGCTGGCCTGACACTTCCCCTTCCTCCTCTGGCTGGCTCCTGGGGGTCCTTCCTGGCGCTGGAGCCCGGATACTGGCCAGCGGTGGCTTCAGAGCGCGCTCTGCCCCTTGCTGACCTTTGGGGGTTTGAGGGAAGTGCAGGTTTGGTGCCCCGGAGCGGGGCTCCGCGCGGCCTGGGCTGCCTCGAAGAGCCCGGCAGCGCGCCAGGAAGCTGTTGCGCGCAGACAGGACCTTCCTTGTCTCCGATAGTGGCCCGGCGGGAGACCAGCGCCGCGTGCGCCCCTGGCACTGCCAGTGCGCTAAGAGCCAGCCCAGTGGCACCCGCCCGGGAGCCTTGAGCTCTATGGGGCCTCCGTGAAGTTTCACTCGCGGGTTGGCTCGAGGGGTGTCAGGAGCCACTATGATGCCCGACCCTTCCCAGGGACCTCTGGGGGGCCCTTCGCTCAGCGCTCTGTTCCTGTGCAGGATCGCGGCCAGCATGGCCCCCACGCTGCAACAGGCATACCAGAGGCGCTGGTGGATGGCCTGCACGGCTGTGGTGGAGAACCTCTTTTTCTCTGCCGTGCTCCTGGGCTGGGCCTCCCTACTGATCATACTGAAGACCGAGGGCTTCTATTCCAGCTTGTGCACAGGTATGCCCAAGGGGCTGGTCAGGTGGGAGAGGGGCAGCAGAGAGGGCAGGTGGAAGCCAGAAGAGGACCCTAGTGAAGCAGATGGACAGCAACGGCTTCAGATGGAGCCCCGGGCAGGGGAGTGGACAAGCCCACTTCTTGAGCTGCTCCCTAAACTTCAATCCAGAAAAGGGGTGCCATGGCGCCTGCTGCTCCCTTCAGGTCACAGGAACCCCTGTATCTTGCTGGGTTTCTAGATCCAGGACTCCCCAGCAGAGTCATAGCCTTTGGCAGCCTCAGGTCTGGAGCGAGATGGAAACTCTTAGGAGACGTTCTCCACCTAGCAGGCTAAGCGATTACCTACTAGGGCTGTTTGTGAGGCTCAGATAGTGTGAGCCTACAAAGGATTTGAATGTGAAGGACCCATACTCTTCCTTCTCCAGGACCTGGGAGCCCCAGGTCTTGGTCACCCGCTGCTCAGAGCTGGCAGACGCATGTCCTCCCAGACAGGCACAGGCCGGGGTCTCTGTTCCCACTGTGGTCTCCTTAGCTTTGTAGGAGTGGTCCCGAAGGAGGGAGTGGGAATTCTTGCGCTCCTTGGGAACAATAAACAATAACTGTCTGCAGGTGTTGGGGGGCAGGGGTCACCCCTCCTGGTGCTGGGACTGGAGGCGCCAGGGGTGTCTGATAGGTGGCTTCCTTTGCTGGGAAGGAGACAGCTGTGCTGCAAAGCTTAGCTGCAGAGCCGGAGGGAGGTGGGTTTCGGCTCCTGCGGCCCTCCTTTGCCTCTTCCTGCGACCACCTCCTCGTGGTGGAACGGGCTTGGGAGGAATCCCAGAATCCCCACTTGTGCCACCTTTCCCAGTGGGGTGACACCAGCCAGATCCTTAAAACACGGAATCAATTACCCGGTTTGCAAACTGTGAAGAGCAACACTATCCCATGATGTGCTGCGAGTGGTGGATAAAAAAGCTAGTGTGGGTTTTGGGGCTTCTCCCAGCTTCTCCACTCAGCTGCCTGCACGTCCTGCCTGGGCTGTGAGAAAACCGTTGCCTTGGGGTGGAGCTGGGGAGGCTTTGATCTTGGCTGCAGGCAGCACAGTGTTCCACCTCCCTGGCCAGGGTTATCTGGAATGAAGCAGCAGGTGGCACCAAATCCAGGTGATGGGTGCTGGGGCTCAGGAGTGAAGATTAGACTTGGCAGCTGGCCTGGGGAGGCAGGTTGGGTCAGGAGGGGCAGGCCTGGGCTGAGATGATAGAAGCCAGCAATGGGAGGGCTTTGGGAGACTCGCTTGCAACGCTGAGGCTCCCTCTGGGGCTTGCAACGCTGAGGCTCCCTCCGGGCTGTTTACCAGGAGAAGGCGAGGACCAGTCCTCTGGCCCCTGGTAGCGTGAGGCTTGCGCTGCCTCTCTAGTGCCTTCTTTTGCCTTTCCCAACTTTTTTTTTTTCCTTTAATCAATTTATTGACGGTGACAGATGACTACATCGCCCTTGGGGTTTGCTAAGGTTTGACAGCTATACACACCCCGTAGCCATCCCCAAGATCGATGTGTAGAATGTCTCCCTCATTCCCCACCCTCCAACCCCTGCCAACCCTCTAGCTGGGGCTTAAAAAACATGCCTGGGTTTTATTAAGTCACGAGCGTACAGTTCACCTGCTTCTTCAAGTGCGCGATATAATAATGGGCTTTGATATATTCGCTTGTGCCACCGCGGCCCAGTGGTGTAGACCATTTCCTTTCCTCCCAGAAGTAACCCTGTGCCTGTTAGCAACACCTGACCCCCCCCCCCCCAGGGCTCCCACCCCAAGCACCTGCTTATTTTCTTTCTGTCATAGATTGCTCAGGACAAAGAGAAATCCGCTATTCCCAGCATTTCATGTCAGTGGCGTTTCTCCTCCAAGGGCTTTGGGGACAAGCTTTTCTCATGGAGCCATGAGGCTTTTAAGGTCACCCTTGTGAGGTGCTGAATTGGGACTTGGTTTCTTTGCATTGTTGAATAATACTTCATTGTCTGGAGTGACTGCGTTTTATTTATCCATCTATTAGTTGATGGACGTTTGGGTTGATGCCACTCTGTGGCTTTTGTGAACAGTGTGGTGTAAACACTGGCATTCAGGCTTCAAGGTGGACCCTTGTTTTCCTTCCTTTTAGGTAGTGGGTTGCTGGAGCAGAAGGGACCCCCATTTCAAGTGTTGGAAAACCACTCAGTTTCCCAGAGGGTGCCCCGTTCGACAGTGCCCTGTGGTGGGGGTGAGGCTTTCCATTTTCCAGTTCCTAGACAACACTTGCTACTCATTGTCTTTTTTTTTTTTTTTTTTAAATCATAGCCATTCTTGGTGACTTTTGTGTGTGGTTTTGATTTGATTTCCCTAATGGCTAGTGATAGTGAGCATCTTCTGTTTATATATATATATATTTTTTAAACTATCCACCCTCAGGATTTTCACAGGATTTCCCCCCTCAGGCGCCCTGAGCCTCCCTGGCCAGGGCCCCGAGACCAGAGCCGGGCCACAGTGCCTTGTGGGACCTGGAGACACAGGTAGCCAATGGCTTGGCTTTCTTAGCCTCTCAGTTACCCTCATGTAAGTGAGACCTATATTCCCTCCTTCTTGGGGCTGTTGTGGAAATAAAGTGGGAGCAAGCACACTTGAATATTATGCTCTGGACCCAGCTTTGCCTGATCTGCTGTGTGACCTTGGACAAGTCGCCTCTCCTGCACCTCCACCGCAAAGTCTATAAAACAGAGTGGACAGCCCTCAGCATCCTTGCCACAGACCAACGATTGAGGACTAAATGAGGCCAGTTGGCAATCCGTCTTTTTCTTAGTGCTCTGTGCTCTCCCTCTTGAGGCACATCCTGGGGAGGGTGGTTAACCCACGTGGAGGGATATCACACCTTAAGGGGCCTTTTGATTCGATTTATCACTTATAGCTTATGGACTTAGTCTAGCATAAGCACCAAGGTAATCAGACAATGGCTGAAGTTCACTAAGCATTTTGCATTTGCTTGGTAAATCTTCAGTCCTAACAATGCATCTGTGATACCGCTATTGTTAATCCCATTTGTTAGAAGTAAAAGCAAAAGCTCAAAGAGGCCAAGTGGCTTGTCTGAGGTCACACAGCTAATAAACTAGGAGCAGGAGATTAAATTAAATCAGGAGATGCAGCCTGAGAGCTGACTCCAGAACCTTTGTCCTGGGCCTCCTGGAAACAGCGTGAGTGCCCCCTGACACCTGCTTCAGCTCAGAGTTCTCCCGGGGCATGGGGCCCAGCCACAGAGAAGACAGCCAACCTACAGTGTTTCGCTGAATGTGATGGGCAGCTGCAGGAAAGTGAAGCCTGGAGTGAATGAGGAAAGGCCCACTGACCTGGGGGGTCAGGAAACAGGGTTGCGTTGTGAGTGTTGGGGTGTCCAGCCATCGGCAGAGCCTGTCTCTCAGCAGTGGAAGCCACAACCCCCCACGGGCGGGATCAGAACCTGGGACTGTCACAGCGAGTGGCGCTGGGATTGAACGCGCTCGGTCTGACTCTGGAGATAGATGCTTCCCCGTGACCCGGCCTTCTCGTGGTCCCCAGGCTGTGTGTCTTTGGAACTTGTGCGACCTCACCATTTCTTCGCACGGTAGATAGTGTTGCTTGATACGGCCTGTTAAATCAGCCCCCTTAGACACAATTCGCCACATGCTACAGTGCAGCATCCCTGGAATCTTGAGTTTGATGGTATATGCCACACGTGCACACACGCTGTACATATGTAGTATATATGTCTACTATATATACAAATGTTCAGTGACTAAAGACCACACGGCAGAAGTCACTCATGTACCTCCTAGACCATGTCCAGCTCTCCATGTGCTGTGCATACCATGCATGGGGAAACACTGCTCCCTGGCCGTCAAGCCCCGCTCTGTCGCTAGTTTAGCACCCTTGACTGGCCTTCTCATGCCTCGCTTGACTGGTGTGTAAAAGCGGGGAGGTGGCTTGCCAAGACTTCTCTTGCTGTAGCTGACACATATAGAGGTCTGGGAGGTCTTAGCCTGCTGGTCTGGCCTTCTTGCTTTGGAAGATTTAGAAGTGCTTGGCTTTGTTTAACCACTGAGTGCACATTATGAATCAAACTCACAAGTGGCTGATGATAAACCAGAGAAATAAACGGATTGGTAGACTTGACTTCTTAGTCATCTGGGATTCTCCACCAGCAGAAGACACATTGCTTGTCAGCACAGGAGTAGGCTGGAAAAGCTGCTTAAGCTGCCTTGTTGAGGACAGACAGGTCCAAGACTGCCTTGAGCTTGAATCTGAGCCTGCCCATAAATAAGATGCTGTGCGACTGAGCTGCTTTACTTTTGAGAGCCTCTTCATCTATGCCGTGGGGTCTATATCACTTTTTAGAATTGTTTGGAGAACTAAAGATGGCCTGTGGAAAACTCTGTTCATTGAGGGTTAGTGGAACTGTTTACGTGAGAAAGTTCACTTGATTGGGAAAGAATTAGAAGCCGGGACAGGGTCTTATCTGGGGCCTGCAAACTCGAATGCCAACAGGGGCCAGGCAGTTACTGACAACTGAGTAAGGCTAGGCAGCTGTAAGATGGAAATATCTTGAAGAGAAGACTTGGCGTGGCTTGGAGAAGGTCAGCCTTGGCAAAAGGGGTGGCCTTCACTCAGCCCCAGCAATGGCCAGGTCACCTGACTTCTTAGAAGCCAGACTGCTAGATTTTTTTTATTTTAGATTTATTTATCTGTGCATACAAGAACTGGGGTATAGGCCAGAGATATGTGTGTGTGTGTGTGTGTGTGTGAAAGGATTCTAAACAGAGAGGGGAAGTGGATTTTGACTGAAATCCACAGCTGAGGGAAGCAGCGGGGAGTCAGGAGAGGTCTGCTGTGCCCTGTGGGTCAGCTTCCTGGCCAGGGATCAAACTCATGCTGCCGTGGCTGCGGAAACCATCATAGTGCTGTGCTGTAACCCCTTGCGCCTCCAGGGAGGGCCCCAGACTGCTAGATTTTTATGCGGTGAGTCCTGATTTTAGACTGGCACCCAATTAAAATTTGCCATCTGAGCCAAATGTGGGCCATCGCTGGTCCCCTTTTTGCAGCCTCTGGCCTAAACCGTCTGCATTTCTGCCTGCTGTTCCTGCTGTCCCACACGGCGTGGGTCTCGTGATGGGTGTCCAGTGTCTGCAGGTTGAATAAATGGATGTGGACAAACTCGGTGGAGGGAGGAACAGCGACCATGAAGATCACTCATTTGTGGGCCCAGCCTGAGCCCCCAGCCTGTGGGCCTGCCCTCCTCGCTTCTCCTCAGTGCCAGGTTCTTGGGGCAGCCAGAGTGTTTCCTCCCAGCTCAGCCAGCGCTCGTGGTCTGTGTGTTCTCCCGTGTGTTCCTCCTTCCCGCCACACGCGGGCTCATCCCACTCTGGGTATCTGCAGTCAGAGTCCGTTTCCCCTCTCCCAGCATTCAGCATTATTTCCTCCTCCCGTTTTGTTCTCTTTACAGCACCCATCACTCTTTAAATCCAGGCCCATTTGTTTCCCTGTTCGCTTTCTAACATAAACCCCGTGAGAACAGAGAGCGTCTGTCCTCTGTTCACACCACGACCCTCTGAGGGCGCGCCTGCCCCTTCATCAGCTACTTCAGAAACACCTTCTCTGGCCAGGCCTGCTGAGGAGATCTGGGCTCACCGGCTTCAGCTGACTCTCCCGGGAGCCCGAGGTTATGTCCCCTGCTCCTCTCCCAGGCAGGGCCCAGCTCACAGTCGGGAAGCTGCTGTCCAAGGCTGCACAGCTAGTGGATGGCCGTGAGGCTTCAAACTCGGCCTGTCTGCCTTCCAGGTACACCCTGAGTTTGCCCTTGGCAGTGATGCTTAAGCAGCGAGCAGGCAGTGGAGCAGCTGCCTCATGATTTGCACTGGGTGAAGTCACCCTCCAGCCCCTCCCCACACACCAGCCTTTTCCACTCGCTTGTCACAGCTCCAAGTTGGCAGTTCACCTGAAGGGCATGGAGCCTGTTTCAGATGAGATGGAGTCAGGTTCCAGAGGCTTCTCCAGGGGGTCACCTCCAGGTTGACTGCTCAACGGTGCTGGAGGGCCTGACTCCGTACCTTAGCTTTAGTTCAGCATCTGGAGAAGGGGGTATTTTGGCACAGAACGGTGGGACGCACGTGCGTTAAAGTGGTGATTGTTGAGAAAAGTGCCTGGAACACAGTTAGGTGCTCAGTCAACGTCAGCCGTTATTTTATCAGAACGCTGTTGTGGGAAAACTTCTTCCCCTAGGGAGCCCCCTCCCCACCAGAGTAGATTCGACTCTGGGTGGGCCCCAAAGGTACCTGGTCCATGGTAAGTCAGAGAGTGGGAGTCGTGCGCAGGCCTGAGCCCCCTGCTCCTGCCACGGCGGTTCCGAACCCCCTTCCCTCCCCCAGCCGAGAACGCCACCAACGTCACGCAGGCCCAGCAGCCCAGGTGGCCAAGCTGTGACCGCCAGGACGAGATGCTCAACCTGGGCTTCACCACTGGCTCCTTCGTGCTCAGTGCCACCACCCTGCCTCTGGGCATCCTCATGGACCGCTTTGGTCCCCGGCCGGTGCGGCTTGTTGGCAGGTGAGGCTCGGGCCAGGTGTGGGCAGCAGGAGGACACGGACCGACCCTGGGGGGCCGGGCAGGCTCAGTGTCCCCCTTCCCATCTCCACAGCGCCAGCTTCGCTGCGTCCTGCACCCTCATGGCCCTGGCCTCGCGGGACACCACAGGTGAGAAGCCTGGCCTCTCACACCCCACTGGGAAAGAAGGGGTGGGGTGAAAGCGGAGTTTACACTAGCTCCTGCCCTTGGCCCGCCATGACTCCCAAAATGTCCTCACCACCCCTTTCCAGTTCTGTCTCCGCTGATCTTCCTGGCGCTGTCCCTGAATGGCTTTGGTGGCATCTGCCTAACGTTCTCTTCACTCACAGTGAGTATGACAGGTCCTAGCTCGCGGGAAGGCACCCAAGAGTGGGATGGGGGTAGGGGTGAGTGGGGGTGAGCCTGGAGGGGACAGCAGACAATGGGGGTGTGTGTGGCCGTTGCAGGCTGCAGCTGGAAGCGGGTGTGAGTCTGTGTCTGTGGGTGAGCTGTGTGGCAGCGTGCATGTGGGGGCAGGGGTGTGTCCTGAGCCCACAGTGTTTGCTGAGCTCTGCTCTGGGCAGTGGGGCTACAGCACAGAATGACAGCAGCCTGGCCTGGAAGCTTCTTGGAGTTTCCTGGAGCAGGTGAGTGGTGCAGGCAATCCCAAACACGAGTAAACTAATAAATTAAGTCTTAGTCATAAGTGTTGGAAAGAAAATAAAACTAGGTAACATGATAGTGACAGGGAAGGAGCAGCTTGAGACAGTGTGTGTGAGTGTGTGTGCGTGTTGCCACCCCGGAGTTTGGCCAAGCGTAGGTAAATGTGTTTGTGAGTGTGTTAAGACCCAGGCACATAAAATTGCCCTCGCTTACAGTGCTTGATCTCCAAACACGGCTCCCCACTACCCCCCAAATTTCGATTTCTTTCTTGCTTGTGCGTTTTGTGTGGATGGGTATTTTACGTCTGTGAAGTGAGCACGAGAGTTAAAAGCTGTGAGTGTGCGGCGGAGGAGGGGCTCCTGGCTGGGTCAGACTCGGGATAGGACTGTTTATCTCACACGAGGGCCAAACTGGGTGGTTTTGGCTGATTTCCCCTCACCCAGCAGCCGCCTTTAATTCCAGCCCGGGACATTTCACAACTCTCTAAGGAAGCGGATCTCTTCCTCCCCGAACCGCCTCCGCAGCCCCTTCACGCTGCGAGGCTTGGCTCCGGGTCGCAACCCGCTTCTTCCCCTGCCGCAGGGGTCTCACCCGGGACCTTGCGCTGGACTCAGCCAGGCAGGGCTGGAGCTGGGGGCTCCGCCGGCAGCCTGCCCGCGGCTCCGCCCCCTCCCCGCC